AAAGTGGTGTCATCTGCATATCTGAGGTTGTTAATGTTTCTTCCAGCAATTTTCACCCCAGCTTTGCATTCATCCAGCCCCGCACATCGCATGATGTGTTCTGCATACAAGTTAAAAAGGTTGGGTGAGAGGATGCAGCCTTGCCGTACGCCTTTCCCAATCTTGAACCAGTCTGTTGTTCCTTGGTCAGTTCTGACTGTTGCTACTTGGTCCTTGTACAGATTCCTCAGGAGAGAGACAAGGTGGCTTGGGATGCCCATCCCACCAAGAACTTGCCACAATTTATTATGATCCACACAGTCAAAGGCTTTAGAATAGTCAATGAAGCAGAAATAGATGTTTTTCTGAAACTCCCTGCCTTTCTCCATTATCCAGCGGATATTGGCAATCTGGTCTCTCGTTCCTCTGCCTTTTCTAAACCTAGCTTGAACATCTGGCAACTCTCGCTCCATGTATTGCTGGAGTCTTCCTTCCAGGATCTTGAGCATTACCTTACTGGCATGAGAAATAAGGGCCACTGTACGGAAGTTTGAGCAGTCTTTCGCATTTCCCTTTTTTGGTATGGGGATATAAGTTGATTTTTTCCAGTCTGATGGCCATTCTTGTGTTTTCCATATTTGCTGGCAAATGGCATGCATCACCTTGACAGCATCATCTTTTAATATTTTAAACAGTTCAGCTGGGATCCCGTCATCTCCTGCTGCCTTGTTGTTAGCAATGCTTCTTAAGGCCCATTCAACTTCACTCCTCAGGATGTCTGGTTCTAATTCATTCACCACACCGTCATAACTATCCTCAATATTATTATCCTTCCTATACAGATCTTCTGTATAGTCTCGCCACCTTCTCTTGATCTCTTCAGCTTCTGTTAGGTCCCTGCCATCTTTGTTTCTTATCATGCCCATTTTTGCCTGAAATTTACCTCCAATGTTTCTAATTTTCTGGAAGAGGTCTCTTGTCCTTCCTATTCTGTTGTCTTCCTCCACTTCCATGCATTGCTTATTTAAAAATAGTTCCTTATCTCTTCTGGCTAACCTCTGGAATTGCGCATTTAACTGGGCATATCTCCCCTTTTCACTGTTTCCTTTTGCTTTCCTCCTTTCTTGGGCTACTTCCAGTGTCTCAGCAGACAACCATTTTGCCTTCTTGGTTTTCTTTTTCTTTGGGACGTACTTTGTTGCCGCCTCCTGAACAATGTCTCGGACTTCTGTCCATAGTTCTTCCGGGACTCTGTTTACTAAATCTAGTCCTTCAAATCTGTTCTTCACTTCCACTGTATATTCGCTAGGAATGTTAGTGAGATCATATCTAACTGGTCTGTGTATTTTCCCTGATCTCTTTAGTTTTATTCTAAATTTGGCAATAAGGAGTTCGTGATCTGAGCTACAGTCAGCCCCAGGTCTTGTTTTCACCGACTGGATGGATGTCCGCCACCTTTGGCTGCAAAGGATGTAGTCAATCTGATTTCGGTGTTGACCATCTGGTGAGGTCCATGTATAAAGCCGTCTTTTAGGTTGTTGGAAGAGAGTATTAGTTATACACAGCGAGTTTTCCTGGCAAAATTCTATCAGCCTGCGTCCCGCTTCATTTTGTTCTCCCAGACCATGCTTGCCTGTGATCCCAGTTGTCATTTGACTTCCCACCTTGGCATTCCAGTCTCCTGTAATGAAAATAATGTCTCTTTTTGGTGTATTATCCAGGGTCCTGCAGATCCTCATAGAACTGATCTACTTCTGCTTCTTCAGCAGCTGTTGTTGGGGCATATATTTGGATCACTGTAATGTTGAAAGGCTTTCCTTGCACTCGAATTGAGATCATTCTGTCATTTTTTGGGTTGTATCCAAGCACCGCTTTAGCGAATTTCTTATTAATTATGAAGGCTACTCCATTTCTTCGATGTTCCTCTTGTCCGCAGTAGTAGATCTGGTGGTCATCTGATGTGAAGTGGCCCATTCCAGTCCATTTCAGTTCGCTGACCCCCAGAATGTCTATCTTTAGTCTTGACATCTCACCAATAACAACATCCAATTTGCCCTGGCTCATAGATCTTACATTCCAGGTTCCTATGGTGTGTTGATCTTTAGAGCATCGGATTCGTCGTTCACCTCCAGTACCGTCGGCCGCTAGCCTTCCTTTCGGCTTTGAGCTAGCTGCGTCATCACATCTGGGGCTAGTTGAACTTATCCTCTGCTCCTGCCCAGTAGCATTTTGGCCATCTTCCGACCTGGGAGTCCCATCTTCCAATGGCATACCGACATATCTCTGGTTGTACTGGTCCATTTAGTTTTCTTGGCAAGGATACTGGAGTGGTTTGCCATTGCCTTGCCCAGGGATCACGCTTGGTCTGACCTCTCTGCCACAACCGTCCCGTCTTGGGTGGCCCTTCACGGTTTCGCTCATGACATCATTGAGGTGCTCAAGCTCCAGCGCCCCGACAAGGCGGTGATCCTTTGCTGGAGATCTACACTGGTACTATAATCTATTTTAGAACCAGTTCAAAAGGAACTGTTTACATTGTGGGATCATTAGATTTACAGGACTATAACCAGCTTGAGGACAGTAAGGTGATTACATTGAACATGGAACTTGGCCTCAAACTGTTTTGCAGGGTTTCTTTCCCAATTTCTTAAAGAAATGGACATCAGTGCACCAGAGGCACATGGGCTAAAAGAAAAAGGGTAAGTGACAGGTAGAAGTGCAGGTAGCCAATCCCCTCTATTAGGGGACCAATTAGCTCTTAATGCCCAGCCATGCTCTTGGAGTATTTTTGGCAGCCCTTTGGGATCTTTTACTGCATTTCAGCAGGGCAGGTGTCTGTAATGTGCTTCACATTTTACAAAGCTGATTTGTCTCTGGATCTGGAATGCACAAGGATCAGCTCCAGCATTTTTTATTGACCTTGGACTTTCCTTGAGCTTTTTGATAAATGTATGCATTTTCTGGCAAACCCAGCCTTAGGTTAGTGTAGAAAGACCCATAGAATTCACAAGTTGCTGCTAGCTATGACATTTTTGGATCCACTTCTGGGTACTTCTCAGCCCCCCCCCCCCCAAAATAATTTATTGGCCTTTCTTCCAGTCCTCTTTGGTTTCTTTTCTCATAGGAGTCCAAAAGAGGAATATGAAGTAAAAGTAAGCTGGGTGGGAAAATAGAGGAACTGTCCATTTTTCCAGTCTTCTCTGTACTTTTCTCTCTGCACTTAAGTTTTTCTCTCAGATAGCATTATACTAGTTGGTTGAATGTGACTTGAACCCTAGTGGTCTGGCACAGCTTTGCTTTACTTTTCAATAAGTCAACTAGCTGATTCCATTGTTTTTCCCCGATATTCTTTCCCAACAGAATCAGCATTTTCTGGATAAATAGAATGTGGTTGTCTGTTCTCTTCTTAGTTATCCGCTGCTAAATCCCTGAACATGTCCTCTGTATATTGATCTTCAGTTTTTCATGGGATGCTGTCCTAATGGTAAAGACTCATAATTTTATCTCAAACTGTGCATTTAGAGGAAATGATTGTTGTAAGTGACAATCTTATCTACATCAACCTCATAATAAGTCCCACTGAATTTAGCTGAGCTTGAATGAATTGGCGACAAATCCAGATAACATATGTATAAAATTCTGGTTGCCTGAGGTTTGGCAATACTTTTTATCTTTTTTGTCTTTTAACTAGTCTCTGTGTGTACATAGAATTTGGATTTTGCAAGAAAGCAACTCCAAATGGAACAAGTCATCATAACATTATCCTATAATGGCAAGCACATTTAAAATCAATACACGGTCTCATTTTTGAATTAAAAAAACTTTTTTTTTTACTGTCAGCTTGTATTAACAAGATGGCTGGGAAACCTGGATTCCTGTAGATCACATGGTAGAGAGCATGATTCTCAGCATGAAAGCTATTGTAGTGTGTGCTGTTCTTGTTCTGCTCCAGAAATATCAGAAGCTTGGGATCACATGGGAGGAGCTAATGATTCATCTTCCTGCCACACCAGTACTGTCACTCCTAGAAGTTGAAGCACTACATAATAGGGCAAGGAACCAAGTTATGCTTTCCTCTCCATGTGACGTTCCCCTGACTTTAGTAGGAAATGCTAAAATAGTCTCCATGCTGCAAAGTTAATGCCCCAAGAACAAATCCAGTCTTGCCAACTCCACAGTGGAGCAGTAATTAAATAAATACATTCATAGAGCTTGTATCATTATTGTAAATAATTATAAATCTCCACTGAGACAGCGAAAAATGCCATGTGAACAAAGACATTTTATGAATCTATGCCCAGTCAAGCTGCTTATCTAAAGCTTCTTTTTATGCCTTAATTTCCTCCAAAACATCTTGTTATTCCACTGCTACTTTCTTAAAAGTTATATTATTTATTTTGAAAAGCATGAGGTAAGTCTTATATTGCTTGGGAGAGCATTCTCTCCCTACCCTCTCATCCTTATTCCCAAGTTTTGGGGCACTGGATAAATAAAGAACATAGTGATTATGTACGTATTGCATTTACACTGCAGCCTGTGTTTTTAGAACATTTTTTTATTTTATGTGGCAAAAAGAAACTCTGTATTCCTTAGAGAAGACTAGAGAAAAGTGGAATGTAAATTAAGAGAGTAACAATAATTACTTAGATACATAAATATGGTCAGTTTCTTGACCATGGATTACGTAAACCTTGCTTTACATACAGATTTCAAAGACATTTTTCTACTGCTTTGGATACATAAATAGCTCTTAAACATATCTGCTCAGAATAAAGTGACTTCCACATAATGGAGCTAACCCAGTAATGCCCCAAAATGTTCCTATGTCAAGTATTAAGCAAATTATTTTAGGGACTTGGAATCCTCTGTGGCTCAAAAGCCGGTCAATTTTTACATTTGAGAATTATTAAATGTTTTCGGTAGTTAACACTTGTTCCCTCAACTTGCTCATTTATCTCTCCTTACTGCCCACAACTAATGTGGTAATATTAAAGTCTCTCTCTTTTCATTGTATTTTGCAGAAGCTGTTGGATGACCATGAAGCTGTGGATTATTACATTATGTTTGATGGGAGTTGCTTGTGATCTACTCCAATATGAACCAGCGTTCCCTTCATCCATTGGCTCTTGTGATATGTTGTGTTCTTGTGAAGAAAAGGATGGCATCTTCATTATAAACTGTGAAGACAGGGGCATCCAGGAGTTATCTCAAGTGCATGTTCCACCATCCCAGCCTTTCCACCTTAGTCTTCTAAACAACAGTTTGACAATGTTACATGTGAATGATTTCTCTAGCTTTATCAATGCGCTCACTCTTCACCTTGGATTTAACTATATCATAGACATTGAGCCAGGTGCATTTAATGGGCTAAGTCACCTTAAGCAACTTCATATCAATCACAATTCTTTAGAAATACTTAAAGAAGATACCTTTCATGGGCTGGAAAACCTAGAATTCCTTCAAGCAGACAATAATTTTATCACAATAATTGAACCAAGTGCCTTCAGCAAGCTCAACAGGCTTAAGGTGCTCATTTTAAATGATAATGCCATTGAGTTTCTTCCTCCCAATATATTTCGCTTTGTGCCGTTAACTCACCTGGATCTTCGAGGGAACCAGCTACAGACTCTTCCTTATGTTGGCTTTTTAGAACATATCGGTAGAATTCTAGACCTCCAGTTGGAAGATAATAAATGGGTCTGCAACTGTGACCTGCTGGAATTGAAAAGCTGGCTAGAGAACATGCCTCCTCAGTCTATAATAGGAGATATTGTATGCCACAGCCCTCCCATTTTGAAAGATTTTATTTTGAGCAGGTTAAAAAAAGAGTCACTCTGTCCCACTCACCCTACAAATGACCTGGACTCTCCATCAGGATCATTGCCCCTGGTGGTCACCACATCCATCAGTGATAGTCAGTATGCAACAAAAGTGATACCTATTTTAAAAGCTCCTACCAGGGAATCTAGTTTAACACTTCATGTATCAAGGCCAGCAACCCTGTTTCCAGGAATATATTGTCCTATTCCATGTCAGTGCACAAGCCATATCCTTTCAGGGATTTTGATGCAATGCCAGGAACGAAACATTGAAAGCCTATCAGATATAGGGCCTCCTCCACCAAATCCTAAAAAGCTCATTCTAGCTGGAAACATAATCCAGACGTTACTGAAATCAGACCTGGTAGATTATGGAAATCTAGAAATGCTTCACTTGGGAAACAATCGTATTGAAATCCTAGAAGAAGGGTCCTTTATCAATCTCACCAGACTGCAGAAATTATATCTCAATGGAAACCATCTCACCCACCTAAATCGCAATTTGTTTTTAGGCTTGCAGCGTCTTGAATATTTGTATCTTGAATATAATGCCATCAAAGAAGTTTTACCTGGAACATTTAATCCAATGCCTAAACTTAAGGTCCTCTATTTAAATAATAACCTTCTTCAGAATTTGCCACCTCATATTTTTGCTGGAGTTCCTCTAGCCAGGCTAAATCTAAAAACGAACCAGTTTGCACATTTGCCTGTAGGGAATGTCTTGGATGATCTGGATCTACTTGTACAAATTGAGCTAGAAGACAACCCTTGGGATTGTACTTGTGACTCAGTTGGGCTGCAGCAGTGGATACAAAAGCTAAATAGAAATACAATGATGGGTGAAATTTTCTGCACCTCTCCAAGGCATTTAGCTAAGAAGGAATTGAAATCTCTGAATAGTGACACGCTGTGTCCTGGCTTAATGAACAGTCCAGTGCTCCCAACTCAAGCTAGCTTCGTAATCATCACAACGTCACCAACCACCACCAATACAGCAGATACTATCCTGCAATCACTCACTGATGTCATTCCTCTTTCTGTTTTAATACTGGGGCTTTTGATTGTATTTATCACCATCATCTTTTGTGCAGCTGGTATTGTTGTTCTTGTTTTACACCGGCGCAGAAGATACAAAAAGAAGCAGGCAGATGAACAGCTGAGGGAGACCAGCCCAGTTCAGCTTCAGTACAGCATGTATGGTCACAAAACAACACACCACACAACTGAGCACCCAGCTACAAGCTTATATGAACAGCGCATGATCAGTCCCATGGTTCAGGTTTACCAAAGTCCCTCTTTCAGTCCAAAATTTGCAGATCATCGTGAAGATAGGAATAACAAGGAAGTGAATGATTCCAAACACCTTCGCAGAAGTCTCTTAGAAAGGGAGCACTCATCACCTCTGACCGGGTCAAATGTCAAATATAAAACTATGGACCAATCAGCTGAATTCCTGTCTTTCCAGGATGCAAGCTCCTTGTACAGGAACATTCTTGAGAAAGAAAGAGAACTCCAGCAATTAGGCATAACCGAGTATTTACGGAAAAACATTGCCCAGCTGCATCCTGATATGGAAGTCCACTATCCAGGGGCTCACGAAGAGCTCAAACTGATGGAGACACTCATGTATTCCAGGCCGAGAAAAGTTTTACTAGAACAGACTAAAAATGAATATTTTGAACTCAAGGCCAACTTGCATGCTGAACCTGATTACCTGGAAGTCTTAGAACAGCAAACGTAAAAAAAAGAAAGGAAACAGTTTGGAGGGATTAAATCAGAACAACTCTATCTCAACCTGAAACTTTGTAAATAAAAGTGCCTTATAATAATGTCATCAATCAGAACTTTTAAGCACAGCAGTAATCCGAGTGAAAAGAAACTCTCAGGGATAACTGTGTGAAGCCATGGGAAAGTTTGCAGGCCATTTTTCTCACTCCCCCCATCCCTTCCGCCACATTAAATGTGAACTTTGTGTGATTGGATTTTGGAAGGAAAATCAGTTTCCTTTACCATTGTCCCCTAGACTTGCATGGCAATCTCTCATCTGTTTCCTAAAAACATGGTTAAAGCATTTGTTATTTCAATACCTTTCTTTTATCTGCATCATTTACACTATATTTTTAAAAAAGCACCTGTATACCTAGTTACAAAACAACTAGTGTATATTGGTTAGGGATTAGTCCACATCGGTGAACACTATCTACCAATTGCACATGATATTGCCATGTAATAAATATGAGAAAAATTAAATGATTTTTAAGCAAATATTTAACTGTATGCACCCAAGGTCTGCCAGTATTTAAGTACCTTGTATTTGAAATGCTATTTATCAGAAAGTCTGTTAGAATATGTGGATGGTGGGGAAAAACTATATACTTGTTTTATTGAGGAATTTAAAAGACATAAAAACAAACCTTTTTTTTTGTTACTTTTTCTGTCTTGCGATTTGAATCACATTTTGGACAATCTTCAGTATAGTGCTGCTATAGACTTCTGTGCATCATTGGTTTAAAACATTTATACCTGGGAACGCTACTGAGAGTTTATTGTAAATATACTTGTAAATCAACAAGCTGGATTTATTTTTTAAAAAATATTTATATGATTGGCTCTTTTCAATTATTGTGCGTACAAGAGAAGGAATTTGTTCCCTATGGCCAGTAAATTTGACTTGCACACTAGAAGATGACTAGGCAGCAAAACCTGATTTGTACATCTGTGTGAACATTTGATCATAGCCACATTTATACAGCAAAAGAGCATTTCTCAGGATAAAGTGACCCACAGGGCTTTTTAAAAAATATGAATGAGGATTTTGGAATAGTGTCTTGGTATACATTGAATTGTTGGAATACATGCATGTATCCTGAAATCAATGTTAACACTCTAGGGCTGTGCTTGATACTCTTTTGGAAGCAGATTTTAGCCAATATTTGCTGGTAGATTCTCTATCAGTCACTCTTTATGATCCTCTAGTACGGTAGTTCAACTCCCAGAAATCCTAACAGCTAGTAAACTGGCTGGGATTTCTGGGAGTGGTAGGCCAAAACACTTGGAGACCCAAAGGCTGAGAACCACTGCTCTAGAAGGACATTTCCACCAGCAGACAAGTTGTTCTTGGAGTTTAGGTTTCTCTGTAGACATAGAATTCTAGGTTGTCCTTTTTTCTTCTTCTTCATGTACAACATCACCTTTATATTGGGCTGTAGAGATGATTCTGTCCAAAATATTTAGTATGGTTTCCATGGATTTGTTGCAAACATTGGATTACATCAGACCCAGGTTTACAGTTTAATAACCCATACATTCTTGATTTTGTTGAATACATGTGTGTTTTGAGCATGTAATGGTGAAAATTGCATTGGTTTATTTTTCTGATCAGAATTTTTCAAAGCTCCCATCATTTTTCATAAATTCAATGGCTTTAAAATCAAATATGGAAGAAAGCAAAAGATGGATTAATTCAACCAACCAGAGGACTTTGGTTATTCAGTTCTTAAAAGTTTGGCTTTGCATGGTTTTGTATTCAAGTATCTATCTAGTAATGAACTTGGTTGTGAACTTTTTCTGATAGCTTTTGTGACCTCTAATATTCAGTAGGCAGGCACTACATACTTCTTTCTATATCAGCAATAACAGTATCCACTGAATTTGCCCAAAGATTAAGATTTTCATTTGGTTTCTTTTTAAATAGCTAACCAAACATAGATTTCTACATAAACTAGATAGAAATAACAATGATATCTTTTTATTTGAAAAGGAATGTGGAAAATGAAAACTGAGAGCTTAATCCATTTTTATTTCAGACACACATTTATTCCATCTAAAATTTTCATTTCAGCAGCCTATTGAAAAACAATGGCAAAAGTGTTCACTTTAAAATGCAAAAGAAAAAAAAGAAAAAGCACAGCTCAATAAATATTCTGTAAAAATCAACAAGACATTCTACTAAGCAAGATATTAAGGAACAAGGTTATACAACCCAGGGAACTTAATTTTCCTACAAATGCTAGTTGGGTTAATCTCAATTATTTGTGCACAGTCTGCATCTTTTCTAATTCACAATTCTTGTTATTATTCTTGGGTGTCTTTTAAAACCAATCAAAGACATTCTCACTATAAATTAAAAATGACAATAAAGGTTTGTTTTGTTTTAACGGCTTGCTTTCTGAAAAGTGCCCATTTTAAATTTAAAAAGCCGTTGGCAAGACCTGAACACACAAGTTCAGATCTGTTCAGGAATCAAATGGGAGGCTTTTGTCAAGTGTCATGCATACAGAAGCATCTTGTTCTGGGTGCAAGTAGGCAGTTTAATGCCCATGCATGACTTACACAGTGCTAAATTGTTGCTCTGACCTGCATTTCCCCTCCTATTTGAGCCAACCTTTTGTTAAAAGGCACAACATGATAGATGTACTTCTGTGCTTAAATGGCTGCAGCTATTTAAGGCTCAACTGATTTAACAATTCATGTGAGATATAAGCATTAAACCTACAAAATACTGACCCAATTCTTTCATTATCAAGTCATAAAACATTTTAATGAAACTTCCACAGGTTTGCCCACAATGTAAGCTCTATACAGCAACAGGCTTAGATTTTTGGAAGAGCCTGTTTAGGAGCCAAGAAGAGGAAATATTTACATCAGATACTCTATACATGTCAGCTGGGACAATACTACATTGCTGTCCACAAACTCAGGACTCTGCCCTTATAGCTAAGCTATTGCCTATCTGAACAATTGTTTCATTAAGTCATTATTATGAAAGTCAAAATCACAGGCTTCCAAAAGCAAACATGATGACATGAGCACAGTTTAAAATTCTAATCACATTCATGATTAATCAATGTATATTTTACAGTTGAAAACACATGCTATATGTACCATAATTATGAAGCTGAAATGCATTGGCTTTTCTATACATCTCAGGCCATAGAACATTGTCATCAGAACTGACTGGAACTACCAGGATCATAAAAGCTAGTCCATGGAGTGTGATATCTAATGTTATATTTATTAGCAGGTGATTGCAAAACTTTCTATAGGGAGATCTATAGGTAAAGGTAAGGGTTTTCCCCTGACATTAAGTCTAGTCATGTCCAACTCTGAGGGTTGGTGCTCATCTCCATTTCTAAGCCGAAGAGCCAGCGTTGTACGTAGACGCCTCCAAGGTCATGTGGATGGCATGGCTGCATGGAGCACCATTCCCTTCCTGCCGGAGTGGTACTTATTGATCTACTCACATTTGCATGTGTTCGAACTGCTAGGTTGGCAGAAGTTGGGGCTAATAGCAGGAGCTCACTCCCCTCCCTGGATTTGAACCATAAAACAGGAAGAGCAAAATTAATGTCTTTTTCAAACAATAACAAGAAGAAGTTAAGACCAGTATCAGATCATGTTCCTTACTTTAGAGTAGAGCTGGCAATTCACAATTGTGGGTTTCACTTTGGCAGATTTGATTATTCATGGATTTGATTAATATGTTCTCTCTATGAGTCTCTAAGTCCTCTATGTGTCTCTATAATCAGTGTCTGAAGGATGTTGATCACAGAATCATGTTGAAAGACCTAATGATTCCCAGAGAAGTGTTCTCACATATTAAAAACATACATTTTTTAAAAAAAAATCATGATTTTTTCACTTTCACTGGGATTCTATGCCCCTGCCCCAACAAACTGTATAACTGTGCAATTCAGGGTGAATCACTTCTGTTGTATCACATGGTAGCAAACCTTTATGCTGAATGAAATATCAGCCAGTCAGTCAGTCAGTAGCCTTTATTTCGGTCAACAAACCAGCGGCTAAGTCAAGTGAAAGTAGAATAATGAAATACAACAATTAACAATTAATAACATCACACTTGGCTTATGATTAATGAAAACAAGTATCACCATTCGCTATCGGATGAATGACTGTCTATTAGGCTTGGGTAACCACGGAAAAAATTGGTTCTAAACTCGTTTCGTTTTTAGGGGGGGGGCCTGCGTTTCGTTTTTTTTAAAGAATTCCGAAATTTTCCTTTAAAAAAGTTCAAAATATACGAAATTTCATAAAATTACGAATCGATTCGTTAATGGCGGACGCGATTGCGCAATATGCTAAAAAACCCTCCAAATGGGACAGGGGGAACTTCTGAAGCTTCCCTCTCCCTCTGTTGTTGACTGTTGGTGTGATAATTTATTTTTATCACTTATAAAACAAACAACAACTATAAAACTTGCACCAGACATACGGAAATAATTACGAAACAATTACGAAACAATTTCGAAACAATTTACAAAACAATTACGAAACAATACGAAATAAATTGGAAAAATTGTTTCGATTTTTAATTACTCCTCACAGTAGTCCTGCATGGCTCAATATTGGATCGTAAGCTAATTTAAATACGAATTAATAACGAATTACGAAATTAACGAACGAAACCGCCCAAGTCTATATAATCTAAAACAGGAACTGATTACCAATTAATAATAAGTCTCCCAATTACTCTTTGTTACACTCAGCCTTTACAGGTTATTCATGAAGCACTTGCGGCTTTTTGCCGCTGCAAACAGAAATTTGGCCACCTGTTCCGTTACCCTTTTATCAAGATCAGACAGTAAATAAGTGCAGTACCAACTTAGGGTTCTTTCTGGCCACTTCGTGAGTAGAGGGGATATTAACCTTAGTCTATCATCCTTGTAAATTGTGCAAATAAAAAGTACATGTATTACAGTTTCAATTTTACCCTCCCCACATGGGCAAACTCTGTGTTCGTAATCAGTCCCTTTGTATCTACCCTCTGGTATGGCTGATTTGAGGGCATTAAATCTGGCCCAACTGAAAGCAAGGTGAAATTTTGGGATGTTTAAATTTTCTAAGTATTTGGCACCTCCCAAAGAATTAAATGTTAGGCCTAAACTCAATGGAGAATATGTGGAGCACGCCAGAGTCATTGAGGCCTGTTTGTCTATGTCACTGATTCGTTCTGCTAAGATCTGCATTATCTTTTTATGCTCAGAACCGCTCAATATATTCTCTGAGAGGCCCATCTGCCTGAGTTTCTGATTTAGCGCTTTGATTCGGTGGGATTTAAAGAGGTCTTTTTGAATCAGATATGTATATCTGAATGAAATATATAGGATAGTATTGTACAGCAGAGATATCTTTTTATTGAACCCATGTGCATATGTGCACATGTACCCTGTTTTGTCCATTTTATTGCAACTTCATTTGTGGATCTGCAGTCCTATATTCAACACAATGTTCGGATAGGGGCTGAGAATCCTTCCCACTTTGAGCACAGTAGTGGAGAGTAAGGAGAAATATACCACCACCACACTTTTAGAACAGCTAAAATATTCTCCAAGAAGCCAAAACAACTTGCTAGGCTGAGGGGGGGGGGGTGAGCAGTGTGTGTGTGTGTGTTTATGTATGTAT